TGTTTTTTGTGAGAAAAAAATTCAATTTTGACACGTCATCATATAATGTCAGCATGCCACGTCAGCATGTAACCTGGTTAACCGTTCAAGTGGTCAGAATTGTAACAAATTGGAAAACACAGTGTCAAAATTGACACAAAAAATAACACGGTGTCAAAATCAAATTTCTGTGTAAAAATAGTGTTTTTTGTGACATTTAATAAAATCATGGCAATTTATCATTTCACATAATAAATTCTACTCTCTTTCTTTCTCCATTAGTCATCATGGCAAGTTGCATGAATGAAAACAACCCAAAAGTATCATGCTACATATCAAATCAAGTACATATCAATTATAGTTACGTGTTTAGATACCTAATCCAACACAAAAATAATCATTGATTCGTCATAAACATTGATATACCAAATCCATACTTAATCTGACAATTTTGTAAGTAATTTTGTTGAGGTCCCGAACTCGAATCGAGTTAAATTCAACCTCATATTAGAACTGGATTAGGTAAGAAATTTATGCTGAAATTATATTCGATATCTTGCAAATTTAGGATCAGAAAAACTCCATAAGATATTTTGTTGAATCCTTATAAGGTTAAGTTTGATTCGTTATATATTTTGAACTCCTTTTTTAATTTTTAATTGAGTCGACTAGAATCAATTTTGAATTTGAAGAGCTTCAAAAAAAGTTCAAAGATAAAACCGTTTTTATTATCTTTCAAAAAAAAAAAAAAAAAAAGAAAAAGACAAAATAAAACTGTTTTTATTATCATTCCAAAAAAAGAAAAAGACAAATCAAAAGTAGAGGGACCCAAAACGTATCTATGCCAAACTTTAAACCGGGTTTATTCGAGATCCAAATTCCACTTTCCAACGAGGCATATAAAAACATCCCACCAAACCTTCCGTAACTGGGATGATCACCACCACAATTGCATGTGTTAAGGCCATTTCAACTGACTGTGTCTCTGTAGAAACCACGCAATTTTAACAAAAAAATTGTTTGCATCAATCAATATTTTTTTCTCCATTGATGCACAGGTGGTGCTCCAAGAACCAAACAGGTAAACAGATATCGATTCTCCTTCTCCCTTTTATACTTCATTTCACTTATAGCACTCGAAATGATTCTCAATCGAATCGAAGTTGTTCTTGTTCGTGATCATTTTTGACATGATATCTCTTGTATTTAGAATCATAAACATGGTTTTCTGATTTTTGATGTTCAGGCTTGGATCTCATGTTTGTGACATATACTTCATCTCCAACTACTGCTTACACTTTCTTTATCTATTGTCTGCATTCTTTCATCGTTCCTTTAGAAAGAAGATCAGGGTAGCTTGTTATGTTACATAAGTATATATCAAGATTTTGTATACAACAAATATGGACATTAAAGAGAATATCTTGATGGGAAGATATGAGTTGGGTAGATTACTAGGTCAAGGCACATTTGCAAAGGTATACTATGCTCGCAATTTGAGAACAGGATCAAGTGTAGCAATTAAGGTAATAGACAAAGAGAAAGTTTCAAGAATTGGGCTTATTAATCAAATCAAGAGAGAAATATCAATTATGAGACTTGTAAAACACCCTAACATCTTACAACTTTATGAAGTCATGGCAACCAAAACCAAGATCTATTTTGCCTTAGAATACGCTAAAGGAGGTGAGCTTTTCAATAAGGTAGCAAAAGGAAGGCTAAAAGAACATATAGCTCGTAAATATTTCCAACAGTTAATCAGTGCCGTTGATTTTTGTCACAGTAGAGGGGTTTATCATCGTGATTTGAAACCCGAAAACTTGTTATTAGATGAGAACGAAAATCTTAAAGTCTCTGATTTTGGGTTAAGTGCTCTTGCTGAATCGAAGCGTGAAGATGGCCTCCTGCATACGACGTGTGGGACCCCTGCTTACGTGGCACCCGAAGTGATCAATAGGAGAGGCTACGATGGTGATAAAGCCGATGTTTGGTCTTGTGGGGTGATTTTGTATGTTCTTTTAGCTGGTTATCTTCCATTTCATGATTCAAATATACTCGAAATGTATAGAAAGATTGGTAAATCGGAATTTAGGTTTCCAAATTGGTTTCCATTAGAAGCGAGAAGATTGATCTTGAGAATCTTGGATCCGAATCCCGTTAAAAGAATCACAATTTCGAAAATAAAAGAAAATTCTTGGTTTAAAAAGGGAAAGATCGAAAATAATGGAGCTTCAGGGTCGTCGTCGTCAACGGTTATAAAAAGTCAAGATTCAATGAGGCCGTCGAGTATGAATGCGTTTGATATAATCTCCCTGTCTCCAGGGTTCGATTTGACAACGTTGTTTGAGGAATCCCGACATAAAAAGGAGGCGAGATTTACTATTTGGCGGCCGGCGTCTGTTATTATTTCTAAAATGGAAGAAGTTGGTAAAGCTTTGGGGATGAAAGTGAGTAAAAGAGAAGCGGGGTTGTTGAAATTGGAGGGAATGAAGGAGGGTAGAAAGGGGATTTTGTCTATTGATGCTGAGATATTTGAGCTTACACCGTCGTTTCATATGGTGGAAGTGAAGAAATGTAATGGAGATACGTTGGAATATCAGAAAGTACTAAATGAAGGTTTAAGACCTGGACTTGAAGATGTAATTTGGGATTGGCAACAAGATCAACAAGTACAACCAGAGCAACATGAGGTACTACTACAACAGCAGGATCATGTTTCGTGATCTACATTCTAATTGTTCATATCCATACTTATGGTTGCCTTTGTTGTTAATAAATAATAAATGATATTTAAAAAAATGGGATGATATTTGAAAAACAGGATGCGATTCTTTCACTTAAGAATGATTCTCCGATATAAGTGTTATGGGATTTTCATCTTTACTTGTTATTACCAAAATTTTGAAATTATGCTAATATTATGGGTATCCCAAGATTTTGGATAAGTCAATATCTTGAGACTATCATCGTATTTATTGTGATATTATATGCAGGGTTAGAAGAGTTGATTGAAAAGGCATGAACCAAATCAATAGTATGCGGAAAACTTGGTCAAGCCGAAATCAAGAAAAATCCTTAGATTATAGAAAACTTTGTTACCTTATCCATGTATAATAGTCTCTGATCATAGCACACAAACACATCGCCTCTCACTTTCACTTTCTCTCTGAACATTCTTAAGCACAACTACACTCATCATGCGATCAGTGCTAACCTGTAATCTATTTTCTACTTAATCAAAGTTCTAAAATAATATGACTTTGTTATCTCCTTAGGTTTTATGTTGAAGATCCTAAATAATTGAAGGCTTTCATCCTACATCTTTGTGTTCTTGCATTTATTTTATTTACTTACTATTATTCAATCAATCACAATATTCACACACGTTTATTTGATCATTTATTTACTTATACACAAACATTTACATAACTACAGCATCAAGATACTCCATAATATCTTTATCCCTTTTTGAATATCTTAACATTTATCATTTTATTCATCAAGTTTACAACTTTAATATTCTTTTTGTCCCAATTTCTAAATACATATACATTAGATCTTGAATTCAATTGTTACTCTTTAACGGTTTGAAATTTACTTTTAACATCACTATTTTAATCTCAATATCTTAAGGAATTTTAAGCGCTTCACAACTCAACATTTTATCAAAAACATCACACCACACTTACTAATTTACCTACTAAATTACTTGAACGATTTTCGACTAAAATATAAGATACAACATATTTGAAGCTATCGTAAAAATTAGTGAAGTATATATATATTCTATGTGGATGAATCAATTTTTCAAATAGAAAATCATCTCAATTAAAAATATATATATGTGAAAATTACGGCATACTTATGAAATATGGAAGGAAAAATAAATGATGTCAAATTTATAAAAGGTTAAAAGTTAAAAGGGAAATATTATTTCGATTTACTTTATTTGTTAAATCGTTTTTTGAGTGTTAAGCCAAAAAAGGTTTTTTCCGTATTGGGAAAAAGTTTGTGGCATGTATGTTTACCTCGTAAGTTGGTTTTTATGGTTTTTTATTATGATAAAAAGGTCTCTCTTTTTTTTTTTTGGGTATCTTGAAAAGTTTATGGTATTGCTTGCAACACATGTCAATGCGGTGGATAACTTCTCTTTCACATTTTGTAATCGTGACTTTGAAAAAGTGTGCCTACTTTTGGTTGATATTTTTGAATGATGATGTTAGAAAGCTATAACTTTGCTTCGTTATGCATGATGCTAAGTCACGCGATCACGTGATGGTAAACAAAAAACATCTATAGCGTATAATCATGTTATAAACAAAACAAAACATATTTAATAGAGTAAATTACATGAGTCGATCATCGTTCATATCTGACATTGTACGTTTAGTTCTTATTTTCAAAAATTAATTCAGACCGTCTCTTATAAGTTTAAATGTTGCACGTTTAGTCCCTGAAAGACTTGAAATGACTATTTTACCCTTTCTCTTTTCTTTTTCATTTTTTAAATATTGGTTTATTTTTTAGAAATTACAAAAATTGAATTATATGATTTTTAATTTAGTGGGTCCCACCACCTCTTATACTTCCCTCTTTTCTTCTCGGCCACCCCCTTTCTTCACCATACACATTTTCCAGCACCACCGTCACCACCAACACCACCACAACCATCACCATCCATCTCCAACCTATAGGAAAAATCTCTGATATCCATCATCCTCTGCCTCCAGCGACCACCCAAAACATACAAATAAAACCTACAAAAATTGACAAAACCTAAATCAATATGCACAAATTGATACGAAAGGGGAAAGGGGTATTTTTCTTTTCGAAATTACAGTCAAATTAAGAATGAAACTAGAGTAGAAATTTCAGGAATTTTTCTAGAAATTTAAACGTATCCCAACATGTTTCACCCATGAAAAGGTTATGATAATAACCTAATTGATTCAATACGTCTAGTCGTTCACAAAACAAGAACAAAATTGCATGTATTTATGGTGGAACAAACAACAGAAAAGATGAAGGGTTACATGTCTGATAGAGGTATGGATAAGAAAAAATGTTCGATCAGTGGAAATAGCGGTTCACAGGTTATGCAGATGGAGATTGTGGCGATGGTGTGATGGTATTTTCTCTCTCACTAGCTCCGTCAATGGTGGTTCGCTCAAGAGGGTGAACGACACGTGGCCAGAGTTTCATGATGGTGCTTCACAGTCGGAAAGGGATGCAGTCTTAATAGTCCAGATTTACGGTGGGGTTCCAGGTTCCATTCTTCAACTGATTTGCAGAGACGACTCTTTCCCTTTTTATCCAAATCGGTGGTCTGTAGGTGTCGCACCAGAGATGGAGAAGAAGAAGCTGAGAGTTTCGGTACCTCAAAGCTTGTGCGAATGAAGGGTGGTGGTTTAGGTTCTTGAAAGAAACAAAGATGAAGAGGGAAAAAGATGTTTTACAGGGGACACGAAGAAGAAGATGGGTAGGTAATGTGAGGGTGGGCTCAATTATTTATTGAATTTTTTTAATATAATTGATAATAATAAAAATCTAAAAATATATCAAAAATAAATAGAAAAGAGCAAAACAAACATTTTATGTCTGGTAAATGATTTTAAGGACGAAACCTGCAACTTTTAATGATAAGAGAGACGGTCCGAGTTAATTTTTGAAAATAATGACTAAACGTGTTTTTTAACACTTACACGAGGGATGAATCGTGTAATTTACTCTATTTAATATTTGCAAATATGAGAACATATATCTCGTAACTAAAGGGGGCACTTTCAACTCGTATATATAAAAATGGATCACCTTTGTTTATATTTTATTTTCGACAAAACTGCAAATTTGGTCCTTGTGGTTTGCCAAAACCTTTGGATGGGGTCCAAAAAGTTTTCAGCTTGCACCAAAGGTTCAAAATCAATGTTTTCATGGGTTTTTAGTACATTCCGTCATTGTCCGTTTGTTTGGAGCCGTTAATGTCATCATGTGCCCTCCATGTGAGGGCATTTTGGTCATTTTAGGTCCTAGCCTCCGTTGCCGCCACTTTAATTAATAAGATTGCAGATTGTACTTCACTCATTCGTCTTCTACTCATACCTCAATTAGCCAGACGCAAAAACCCTAACAATTATCTGAGAATTGGCTTGTGTTCATGCTTTTGAAAATGTAGGGACTTAGTAATGTTTGAGAGAATTTTAACGTTCAAAAAGTTTATGGTAAGATTCAGACTTTGAAAAAACTTAGAAAAACAATGTATTTGATGACCAAGCTTCAAACTTTGAAAAACTCTAACAATCGTCTCTTTCTGTTTTGAAGATGGTTACCCCAACATATTCTCTATTGAACTTCATCGCGGAGGGAGTTTCACAAAGTTTCCAAATATCAGGTATATTAATGGCCAAGTAAGGTACTTTGATGTTGTCGACATTGATGAATTTTTTGTTCATGAACTAGACTTGATGATGAGAGAATTAGGGTATGATAGTACTGAAATCATGTATTACCATTTCCGTTTGCCTAATGAAGGATTTGACTTTGGACTCTGAGCATTAGGTAACAATGATGATGTGCGTAATCTCTCACGTGATGTTACCCATAACAAAATGATTAAAGTGTACACATAGCATGGTCAAATGAACTTGCTTACATATTTTATGTCCCCAACTGGTCCAAGAAGGGTTATAATAGAAGACATGGACATTCAGGGTCCTTTTAGACCCTCATCACTTGTAGTTTCTCATGAAGTGGTAACTCCAATCCAAATTGATGTTGGTGAGGGTGATTTAGGGTTAGCATTAACCTTATACAAATCAGCAACACCTGAATTTAGTAGGTCTAAAGGTTGGAAACATAGTAAAAGGGCATTGTCTTGTAGTAGAAAGCTTAACTTGGATGGGGAAGGTGGTGAAAAAACAATGGCAAGTGGTGAAGTTTATAAAGGTAAGGGTGTAGAAGGATCTGCAGATGAATTTGTTGTAGTTGATGTAGAAAAAGAGTTAAACAAAGAGATTGACGGGAATGAAGAACTTGACATGAACAAATCCAATGGTGAGGGTGTAGAAGGATTTGCAGATGAGGAGTATAGAGTTGTCATGGATAATGATCCTCAAGGAGTCAATGAATTTTCAACTAACATCAACATAGATGATGAGTTAATGAGAAACTTTCAACCTTTTTAAGGGTTTGAAGACCAAGATAGCATTCCATTTAATGGTTTTGAAGGACAAGATAATATTCCTTTCAATGATGAGTGGAGACAAGAGGAGCCTAATGACATTGAGTTTGAGAATCAAAACAGTGAAGATGAAGATAGTGACTTTATGATTGATGGGGACAACATAATTGAAGATGTTGAAGTTAACATGGAGGATTTCAATCTAATTATTGATACAGAAGCAGAGTTCAATGGATGTCAAAGTTTAGGTGGTCAAAGAAATGAAGATAGTGATGAAGAAGAGGATGTGGAGGTAATTGATAATGACGAGTTGGATTCACTAAGTGATGACTCAGGGGACAACAGGAAAAGAAGAGAAATGATCAAAGAGCTGGGGAAACAAACATTATGTTCTGCTGGTGAGGTGCACAAGGTAGCTTTTCATATTATACAGAAATATAAAGCCAAGAAAGAATTGAAAGATAAAGTTGACCTGCATGCTTTAGAGACAAAGAGGAATATCTCATTCACAAAAAATGACAAGAGTAGATTAACAACTGTTTGTGATGGATCTGTAGTTTCAAATGCAAGTGGGGTAGGTGGACCTACCTCTAGGGAAAATGTAAAGGGTAAAGATGTAAACTCAGATAAAGTTAAATGCACATGGAAACTTCATGCTTCTAGGTCAAGTGAACAGGACTATTGGTTTATTAAGACCTATAATCAGAAACACATTTGCCTCCAAACACAAAAAATCAGATCTTGCACAGCAACATTTCTTTCCAAACGTATTATGGATCAGATTAAAGCTAATCTTGGACTGCCTGTTCGTACCCTACAAGAGCAACTCCAATCAACTTATGGAGTTAGTATTTCAGAAGAGAAAGCATTTAGGGCAAAAGCATTAGCCACCAAAAATGTTGCAGGAGATTACGTAAAGCAATATGCAGCTTTGAGAGACTATGTACTAGAGCTACAAAAGACAAATGAAGGTACAGCTGTAAAGATTGATGTGGTTTATGAACCTGTGGTTTCATCCCCAACCAGGCAATTCAAAAGGATATACGTGTGTTTAGGTCCTTTAAAGAAAGGATTTAAGGTAGGTTTGAGAGAATTTTTAGGCTTAGATGGAGCCTTCATGAAGGGATTCCCAGGTCAAATACTAAGTGTAGTTGGTGTTGATTCCAACAATGGAACCTACCCATTAGCATATGCTGTTGTTGAAAGTGAAAACACTTCAAGTTGGAAATGATTTCTTCAGTGTCTTGCGGAAGATCTTGACTTGTATTCAAATTCCAACTTCACCTTTATCAGTGATAGACAGAAGGTACTATAGTTACATTTAATATTGCATACTAGGTTTCATTATAGACTAATATTAATTACTTTTTTTTTGGTGAAAACAGGGTCTTCTACTAGCTATAGAACAATTGTTTCCTAATGCAGAACACAGGTTCTGTATTAGACACATATACCAGAACATGAGGATCAGATTTATGACTACAGAGTACAAGGAGTATTTTTGGAGGTGTGCTACAACCACCACCATACCAGAGTTTGAAGTTGTAATGGTAGAGCTAAAGAATTATGACATAGAAGCATATCAATGGCTCTTGAAAATTGGGCTAGAAGTCATTTTTCAGGTATTTTCTCAATTTGTTGTCTTGTTTTTTATTATAGTATAGATATACACTAACTGTTATTTTCTTAATGAACTACTAGGAAGGGCAATTTCAGACATGTTATTAAATAACCTTTGTGAAGTGTTCAATAGCAAACTTGTTAAAAGGAGAGATAAACCCATTATCAGTTGTTTGGAGTTCATCAGAGAGTACCTTATGAAGAGAGTATGCAATGTGATAAAGGTGTTAAACAAGTGTCAAGGTCCATTAACTCCAACTGGTACTAGGATTTTGGAAGCAAACATAACACTTGCTAGTAAGTATCATGCACGATGGAATAGGGGACAAAAGTATCAGGTTAAAGGTCCATGGAATGATCAACATGTGGTGGACATAGAGAAAAGGGAGTGTAGTTATAGAAAGTGGGAGCTTACTGGAATTCCTTGCAAGCATGCAATGACAAGCCTAAATGAAATGGCAGACAATAATGAAAAGGTAGGAGAACTATACACCTATGTGCATAAGGTGTATTGGCTTGATACATGGAAAGAGATGTACTCCTTCAAGGTGGAGCCTATCAAAAGTAGAGCCATGTGGCCTAAGAGTGATTGTCCAACAACTCTTGTGCCTCCACCACACAACAAAGCTATAGGCAGGCCAAAAAAGAAAAAGAGGATTACAGCAGAGGAAAGGATTGACATCCAACAACGTAAGAGGCAAGCAAACAGTCAAAGTCAAAAAGATAATGAAACTCAATCACTGAGCAGTAAGTTTTTGACTGTGACATGTAGTAAGTGTAAGCAAAAGGGTCACAATTCCAGGACCTGCAAGGCCAAAGATGGGAATTGATGTTTAAGTACTTAAGTTGTTTATGTTTGTGAAGACTTGCTAATGCACTTTAGTTGGTACTTTGATGCTTTTTTTTTGGTTCCATTTTGAAAATGTACTTTCATGCCCTTTTATGTAACAATGTACTCCAATGTTTTGGTAATGTACTTTAATGCCCTTTGTTGGTAATTATTGTGTTTTGGCATTAATCTGTTATGGTCCCTTTTTGGTAATGTAGTTTGTTAGTGGTTTATGTTGTACTGTCAAAGCATGAAGATGTTATGGCAATGCACTTAATGTATGCATGTAAAACCATTACAATTGCATATTCAAGCGTAGAGAAAAACCATTACACTTGCATATCATGTCAAGATCAAACCTTTATAATTTCGTATTCATAAAAGGATAAAACCATTACACTTCCCATTGTCATAAAAGCATTATGTCACACCCCAAAACCATGAATGGCAGAAACATTCTGGGGCGGAGGACGTCATGTACAGTATCACAACAATGAATAGTAGTAAACAAGTAACAACATCATCCATTGCATTAATAATATAATTTCATACATGTGTGTTCTGTCAACGTTATAGACACCAAAAATATACATATCAAAATGAAAGATGAGTCTTGAACGAACTCCATCTTCTCAAAAGCCTGGCACCTGTACCTGTCTAGTGGTGACCTGAGAATACAAGTTATTTTGAAAGTGAGTATCAGCTTAATGCTGGTGAGATCATAAGTATATTAATGTCTGAGTTTGTATGAAAGCATTTGAAAGTTGTTTTTGTAAGATGTTTTGTACAATGTTTTGTATAATGTTTGAACTCTCCTAGAAAATCCTATGTTTCCTACTAATTGTAGCCTTCTACCAAGGCATCTCGTGTCCGTGTGTATGTCTCTTGTTAGAGCGTGTGTTTCCTAATTTTGCCTATCATTAACCAAAAATATAGTTACTACATTACCGTGCATCGTGTGAATATTCACGAAGTGAATGTAATGGGAAAATATTATCGTACCGTAGTATTTGTAATAAGTGACTACCGTGGTACTAACTACCTTAACACAAAAAGGTGTTCCAAATAACATGTGATTGACCTGTATCCTGCTACCGACTCTAGTAAAACGACGATGTAAGACGTCGTAAGAAATGACATTTGGCACCCGTAGACTTGCAAGTCCCATTGTAGCGAGCAGCAAGGTGTAGGATAGTCAATCCAGTATAGATCTATACACAAAATCATACGCTCTCCAATTAAGGAGATTCGGGATACAAGAACGGTCGTGGCAGGAAGTGCCATGACCCACTCAATGGTTCACATAACTGCATAAATGTATATGTAATGAATGTGCTAACTGAAAGTGTAATCTTTCTCTGTCTATCCTGTGTGTTCTGAAATGTTCTGCGTGTGCTAGTTGTAATGTATGTTCTCTCTATCTAGCATGTATAATAATGTACCGTGTGTACTAGTTGTAATGTGTGTTATCTCTTTATCTAGCATGTATACTAATGTACTGTGAGTACTACTTGAACTGACTCATGAATGAACTGCCTCGTTGTATGTTTCATTGTTCTAGTTATAGTATTAGCATCCTCTTGTGCTACCCCTATGGTAACTTACTAGTGATGTAACTGGTACGTATGAACATGGAAGTATACCCTTGCTACCCAAAGGTACTGAATGAACTGGAAGGACCTTTATGACTATATATGTACACATGATATATAATTAATATTTAAATGACCTTCGGACGGATACCCGATATCCCACCAGACCATATCTCAAGCGCGAAAAGGAAATAGGGCGGGCAGGCCTTCCTAAGCCTTTTAAACATTTCTTATATAACTATACATACATAGACATGCAATTGATAATAAGTATAAAGGAGTTTAAGTAAAATTATTTGATAAGTAAAACAGTTTGAAACAATACGGTTTGATAAACAGTTTGAACAGTAAGAAAACACTGGTTTTGTAGTTATTAATCACATGTGATTGATGTAATAACTATAAGTATTTAACTTGTATCCCCCCCCCCCCATAAAGCATTTAAAAACATTTAAATCATTGGTTAAGGGGTATGAACTCACCTGCAGTGAGTGGTACGGATGAACTGAAGATGTAGGATCGCTAGGTGACAAGTGAAGTCTTGAACACACTTTATAACCCTAGTTAACATATAATACCACATATATGTATCCAATTAGTCTTAAACTACTAATTGATAATGTTAAGACATCCTAGAACATAATAAACACTTTATATAAGTGTTATAAGCCCTAAGGATTGCATCTAAGTTGTTGTGGGACAAGACTAGTGAGTTTAGGGTTCCAAGGGACCTCATACTTGAGTTTACTCTCCAATAAACCCCACATAAGGAGTTTACGGTCGTAAACCCTTGATTTTACGGTCGTGAACTCCTAAGTCTAATGTCATTAGGTGTTTTGAAGTGTTACATGATCCCTAGAAGCAATTCTACTTGGTGGTTTAATCCTTGGAAGGGTTTAGGGCACTTATACACTCATTTGAGGAGTTTACGTCCCCAAGGCCAATTCCCTTTGAGTTTACTGCCGTAAACTCATATAAAGAGGGATGTTTTTATGCTTTCAAGTCCCATGCTCATGTAGGATATGTTCTAGACATTTATCTAAGGCTAATGAAGGCCTTAGGCACACTTTGGTGCCCTTTCTTGATGTTCACGGCCCAAGGACCTTTTCCCTTAGAGATTACGGACGTAATCTCCTATGGGGATGGGCATTTGATGATTTGAAGTCCCTTATTTCACTAGAAACAATTCAAGGCTATTGTCCAAGGCTTTAGGAGTGATTAAGGCACTCTTTGGCCTTTGAATTTGGAGTTCACGGTCCAAGAACTTCTTGGGTCGTGAACACCTAAATCTTGGTGTTCTTGGATGATTTCTAGCCTTAACAACACTAGCATACAAGCCTAAGGTAGTTACATATCACGAGGAAAGGACTAGGCATCGTTTAACCCTTGAAAAGGAGTTTACTCCCCAAGGTGTTCTTGGGCGGTAAACTCACAAATCTTGTGTTTTTGTTATGATTTCTATGTTATCAAGCACTTAAAAAGATGTATAATACAACTAGAGGAAGGTACTCAGGATTTGGGATGAAAACCCGAAGAGTCGTGAGAGAGAAATGACTTTTCTCTAGTTGAAAATGTAACTAATGAAATAATTTGGTTAAGAATCATATTTATAGTCCTTGGATTTTTGGCAGAAAATATTTTTATTCCCGCAATGAACTCTAATATAATAGAGTTTTGGAATAACAGTGTTGCACAAAACCCTAATGCATCCACTCTCCTGATATCTCCTTAAGTGTAAATCCCGAAATACTCAAACTTATACAGAAAAGTCTGAAAATTTACTGTGACTGTTATAACTTCTATTGACTTGATAAAGTTCGTACAAAATGGAAATTTCGGGTTGTCACACATTACATATCCAATGAACCAAAAGACAACACTTAGAACATATATAAACCACAATTAAACCTTCTAGCACCAAAAGACAACATTTATAAGTGGTTATTACCAACAAAAAAAAAAGCCGTAAACTCTAATTCCTAATTCCAAAACAGTACAAACAACAGAAACAAGACCCACGAGGCAAGCAAACATATCTTCAGCTGACCCACTTCAACCTCATACCTATTCATTATTCTCAACAGTCTTGGTATGATAACAGTTGATCTTTGACACATAGAGGGATCGATCCATCCCAAAAATCCACATCTGGATCCCTACAATAATACATTAAAGTAGAAGAATTATTGCATAACTACCGAAATATCATAACCTAATATGAGTTTGCTTACCATTTTAGGGCATGCATAGAAAAGACGACCAGGGTTTCGTGAGGTCCATGAGGTTCGCACAACAGCAACATTCCCACAGAAGCAGAGCATCATTTTTGAATCTCGTAGCAGTAGAAGTAGATAAGAGACGAAGAAGAAGATTGCGTATGAGTATGTATATAAAGGAGAAATATGATATTATTTAAAATAAGGACCTAAAATGACCAAAATGCCCTCACATGGAGGGCACATGATGGCATTAACGGCTCCAAACAAACGGACAATAACAGAATGGACAAAAAAACCATGAAAACCTTGATTTTGGACCTTTGGTGCAAGCTGGAAACTTTTTGGACCCCATCCAAAGGTTTTGACAAACCACAAAGACCAAATTTGCAGTTTTGTCTTTATTTTCAAAGGCTCAAATGGGAAATTCATTTAGAAATTAGTTAAAAAGGAGATAAACTTTCATGTGGTTACTAGTTAGTTTCTAAACAAATTAACCCAAGGGAAAAGTGCAAGTATCCAATTTAACTACCACTTATCATAAATAGAAAACTAATAATAAAAAAAACAAACAAACAAAGATTTTATATTACATGAATCATGATAGAATGATCATTCCACTCTTTATGTAATAATAAAACAAATAACATGAATTACAATTGAGTCCCTCAACTTTCACCATACACCCGTTTTAGTAACCAAGTTTGGCTTCTTTCACTTAGATAGTGAAAGCTGGTCGCTGTAAACAACATACACTTACACACATATGGGAGACTGAGTCAAGTCAATAATCTCAGGGCAGTCAACAAAAACCGCCCTTTTCTTCCTTGAACTCGCCTTGTACTCCGGTGATGGACTGAAAACATCTATCACCTCAACCCCACCACTGTAAACAGGAATCTCAATTCCAATTCCAAATCCATTCCCAATTCCAATTCCATCCTCACCCTTCACTTTACCATTTCCATCTTCAATCACTGGACACACAAACGATTTCTCTGGTGTATCACTGATCACCCACACTGAAGCATCATCAAGATTTTGAGTATCCAAAACAGAAGTTGCTTCTTCTTCTTCTTCTTCTTCTTCTTCTTCTTCTTCTTCTTCTTCTTCTTCTTCTTCTTTTTCAATGATTTCATGATGTGAAGAAACAAAAACTGGTTCTACTTCTTGTTCATGAATTTCAGTATCTGAAACAGAAGTTGCTTCTTCTTCTTCTTCTTTGTTGTTATGATGATTTGAAGAAACAAAAACCGGTTCTTCATCATCATCTCTAAAATCGTTTCCAAATGCAAACATATCATCTTCTTCACTCTCTTTATATCCTTCTGTGTAACACGGAAGTTCATCCATGGAGCGAACATGAACCCTCATGTGGCTGGGTAAGGTAGGGCATCCCGCATAATGCTTTGTGTATTTTGTTGAAAAGAAGTTTACATTGAGGTTCAAGCTTCATCAAATCATACAGATAAAATGTTAGTAAGTATGAACAAGCACACAGAGATAATTTGAACTGAAAAAGGTCAAAAACAGTGTACATACTTGTTCCAGGTTGGTAGAGTGAGCATTGTGTATGCCAATTTGATCTTGTTTGCAAGTCCACCCAGTGATTTAAAACCAACTGCCGCCTTTCTTACTGCTAGTGATTCCACAGGGTGTTGCCAAGCCCACTCAAACTGAGTAACAATGTAAAGAAATCTCGAATATTAATTCCACATTTAGATTATTTGAAAGGTGATTGGCGTTTTGAGTTGATAGATGATTGTGCATACCTGAAGAGCAGCAACATTAGTTGGGAAACCATAGATGCAGAGTACCATTTCCCAAGGGCGTTTTTTCTTGGTTCTAAATGCACCGCTGCATAATTCACCATTATGTTGCCTAATACGTCGCCTTGGGTTCACAGTGAACCTAGAAAATGATATAACAACGAAACACACATCATCAACCGATGTAAAATCAATTCAGAATAAAAAATCTGTAAGCTATAGAGGAATCAGTAACACAGATAAACTATAAACGTGGCCTGGATTGCTAATTATCGAGGAATCATATGGCTACAATTATTAAAAGCTTTAACTCATCGAAAAGAAAACATAACATTTAAAGTATAACAACTCTAATTTATCGATCAATGGGGATTGAGCGAGTTTCAGAAATCAGTAACGCAAATACACCCAAAATAGCATCTGGATCGCTAATTATCAAAGAATCATACATCGATAGTCATTAGAAACCGTAACTTGTGACAATTACTAAACAGAAAATGGAGATCGAAAGGAAAGCAAAAAATTACCCGATGTAGGTGTGTCCTTTGTATCTAGGGCAGAGTGACGTCAACAAATAGCAAGCGAAGAAGCCTGATTTCTCGCCTTCTTCTAAATCATCTGATCGTCCATTCATGGATTCATCATCTCCTCCCTTACTAGAAGTATTTAGGGTTTCTGTGTTCTCAGATTGACGCCCCTTTCTTTTCCCCATTATCTTCACTAACGTTCACTTCACCCACCCAACGTCAGTCTTATAAAATCCGACCGTTACGAATTTAGACTTTTGACTTTTTTTTTTTTTTTTTTTTTTTTTGAAACGGCAAATCTAACTTACTCCTAAACTACACCTTAAATCCACCTATGTCCACGACGGGACTTGAACCCTCAACCTCAAGTAGGGAGGGCAACACCGGATACCGCTGGGCTACAACAGGAAGGTGTTGAATCAGTTCGAAATAAGTCGGTACTATTGATATCGAGCCGGGTTCCTTTACGTCCCATTTCAAAGGTTTAAAAAAAAAAATCAAAAACAAATAAAAAAAAAAAACGTATTTTTTTTGTAAACAAAACCCAAAATTACCATTTTGCCAATCTATATTTGGTATAAGGATTAAGGGAAAGGGAGTCATGTTTGTTATGGCAACCTAAGCTCAACCTAAGTTTCATCTTGGTTTAGAAGAGGGGTGAAACCTTTATTGTGCTTGCCACAGGTGAGGTCCGATGTGCCTTAGGACATGTCCTTGCCATGTAGGATGTCGAGCTCATTTACCACTCCACTCCAATTCGTTCGAGGACATGTGAGTTTATGGAGTATAAGTAAGTAGAGGAAGATGTTGTTGGTTTAGGTGAACCGGCTAATTGTTGGGAGGCGTTTTCCTTGAAAAGGGCGGTCCATGGGTTAAGGGCGTTTTCCTTGGAAAGAAAGGCGGATTGTAGGTGTGGTTCATGGCTTATGTCACAATATGATTTGTGCCTTATGTGTTTATCATTTGTGCCTTATGTGTTTAGCCAAATGGTTGGTGTCAGACACAAGAAATGGTTTCACACGTAGTAAGAGATGGGAAGTTTATTCTAAGAGTGATAATTCTTGACACGACACAAAACCGAGACACAAATAAACGGGTTTAGGTTGACCTTAAACAAGTTCGAGTCATTTTCAGGTTTACCCGTGTAACGTGTATAACAACAAATAGGTCGTGTTCGAGTTGGTAAGCAGATTCACGGGTCGAACCGTGTAACTGTATAATAAACGGGTTATGTTCGGGTTGGTAACCAGATTCACGAGTCGAACCATCAACCCATTTATTTTTGTAAGAGACTAAGGTTATTTTTGATATACTAGCTGAAAAGCTAGCGGTTATATGAAAAAACTAACCGATAAAAAATAATGTTCGGTAAAAGTAGTTCATAAATTAACTGAAAGATATAAAATAACATTTAAAAGAATATGTTTTCTATAATCAATTAAAGGGTATATTAAGAAAAAAAATAAAAGAAAAAAAACTTCTAAAAAGCTAATCTAAATAGCTTTCTAAATAGCTTTTTAAAAAGTTAGCTTGTAAGCTACTTTTTGGTTTGCCAAAAAAAAAAAAAAAAGTTTATCAGCTACTTGTTACGTGCCAAACACAGCCTAAAAATATATATTACTTCATTTTTAATAGAAAGTATGTTTGATTATTCTATATCGATAAATTTTCTACCAATAACTTTTCTTAGTATAAGCTTGATTAATTAGAGATAAAGGCAACTAATTTTGGGGGTGTTTGGCTATTCTTGGATAGTTATAGCGGCCCATAGGCGCGGGTGTACTTGGTATGTAATGCCAAGGTGGAGAATGTGAAGAATATAGCATTAAATAACAAGTCTACTAACCATTTCTACCAATACCGAAAAGATTCTAATTTTCACCACATATAAATAGGATACATAGGATAAGTAGTTTACACATTGTAGTTTATTTTGCTCTCTATATTTACAAATAAACATTTGGAGATCACACGATGTGAAAATAACTGCCATACTAGTAAACTTGTGTTATTTTCTTGCTGCCAGAATAATGTGCTACATGTGAATATGGTAACATGTGTAAACTTCTTTGTATATTATTATAAACATCATAAGCTAGAATTTATAAAAGATATAATGTGGAATCCAAGCATCCAAACAGTAGGTTTTGTATCTACAGCTTTGAGACTTATGACAGATTGACCTAAATAAGCCAAAAACACAACATACAGAATGATCAAAACACAAATTCATATCCAATCCGGTTCCAAACTGTACATAGAAAAGGAAGCCCACATCCACACAAAGCTTCAACCTGCAAATTTGAAATATTTGGATCATAAAATTAACAATTCTGAAAGAAAGACTAAAGGTGGCAGTTGGTTTGTATAAATGTTTTTGGATGGAAATGGAATAGAATCTGTCAAAAGAATGGAATCCAGAGGTTGTTATAAATCCACCCCCATCCTGTAATTTGATAAAAGTAAGAACATTCATCATATTCATGACACCTTCATAAAGAAGGATACAAGGGTCGTGTTAATCCAGTATCTAAGATTATATTTCATTTGTAAGAACATTACAACAACACTACAACAGCACTACTATGGCCTCTGTTCTTCCTAAAGGACATGTATCCTAACAGTGGAAGAAATTTGAAAAGAGTTGAAGCATCAGGATAAAATTGTGTCAACATCCGGACAGTTTAAGAGCACAAAACATGATTAGGTAGTTGTATCATCCATGCATTGAGAGTTCTTGAATGCTTATCTTATAAGTAAGGTGATAATTTTTTGTGCCGTGTAGATTAGAAACTAGTAGTATCAAGTGAGTAACAACTACCATCAAGTTACATAGATGTACTTTTCGCCTAATTTAACAGTAATTATAACTAAATTCATTTAACAGAAAACGAATTGACTAAAACGACACTCACAGAAACAGAAGATTAATCCGATTGTTTGGAAGCAGAAACTAGGTTTCTCCACAAATACCGTCCACTCGCCATATCAACGCAAGTCCAAAATCCGTTCACAAAAGCACCGTAAATCTGTAATTAACACATCGACATTACATTTGTTTAAATTCGAAATTCTTCATCCAGAATTCTACAAAACATGAGCGAAAACCCTAGAAATCAAAGAAAGCACCTTAGAGGATGATCGTCCGATGGAGGCAGACGATGATGATTTGGAGAATGATGTGGAATCGTCGGCAGCGGCAGTAGCAGCGTCGGTGTCCAAAGAAGTATCAGATTGAGATTTGATGTTCCGGAGAACGAAGAATCCGGCGAGCGTCGCCGACAGAAATATGAGAATAATTCGTAAAGGGCACATTCTATTTCTCTCTCTACAAGATATTGCTTTTAGAGAGAGAAAGTAAGTCCCGGGGATTTGGTTAAATCATAAATGAGATTCAGGCCACAAGTCATGGTAGTTGATCCTTCATTTTCTTTTTGCAATTAAATATTAAACATTATATTAATAATGATTATAGGTATAATAATCTACTTTTAATAATAAAAGAAAATTCTTTTCATTCCTCTCTTATTTATTTGGTTACACGTATCTCACACCAGAAAACCAAAGATATCAAATGCAAATGGTATGAACACACGTGTTGATTTTTTATACACAATTTCTCATGTTTGGTGATTTTGTCTATAGTTATTTTTAAAGCAGTCAGTCCTGCCGTGAAACCCCCAACTCTCAAGTCCACGAGAGGGGATATCCATGTAAAATCCACACATGCGTGATACCCTTCGATCCATCCAAAAACCAAAATATCAGTCAGTCTGAAAGTTAACATTCCTTCCATCGGGTCACACTTAGTAATTTTAATTAATTAAGATTTTCAAAACATGTTGTTTTTTTAATTAATTAATATTTTCAAAACATGCTGTTTTTTTGAATGTTGACACTATGAAATCTAATAATGCAATGTAATATAATTAATATTATTCGAATAACCGGTCCACAAACGATGCCTTCTTTTTTTAATATATATTGTGAAATCTAATAATCTGATGCGAAATGGTTAATATATAAATATTTTATTGTTGGATTTAATTTTTATACATAATAGTTAGATTTAACTCATATGATACCATTATATACTAAATAAAACTCATTGATCTAATTTCTTATATATATATATATATATATATATATATATATATATATATATATATATATATATATATATATAGAGAGAGAGAGAGAGAGAGAGAGGTTCAGGTATTATAAGTAAGTATTGTATTATTGTATGCATGATTGTGGACCAATCAAAAATTAATAGGAAAAACAATAATTAAATAAATCAATAAGTGTAACTAGGTAATTTGAGAAATAACTTCCACAAATACTCCCTGTGATTTTGCTAGTTACATTTGATTTTAACCCAATTCCCCCCTTTTAATGGTGGAGACGGAATCCTACCCCCCGATCGACCCAACAAACTTTGATCTCATCGTCGTCGGCACCGGTCTGCCTGAATCCATCATCGCCTCCGCAGCCGGAAAAACTGTTCTCCATCTTGATCATAACCCCTTCTACGGCTCCCACTACTCTCCCCTTATTTTCTTAGACCTCACATCCTTCCTCCGCTCTCAATCTGAAATCCCTAAAACCAATCCCCCCAATCGGATGACACCACTACTCTCGAGTTATCGGATCTGGTACTAATCTCGATTCATTTCGATTCAGGTTCCTCATTCCCGATTCAGATCTCAATGCTCAAGATGTGCAGGTTCCTTATTCCCGATTCAGGTTCCTCCTCGATGGCGGCAACGCTAACCACCAGAGAGGAAAACGGTGGTCTTTCTGATTTTTCCCTATTGATGTATGGTAAGTATTTTTTTTGGGGGGTTTAATCGAGATGAAGAACGATTTCAGAAGCTATTTTCGTGTTCCAAATCATGATTTTCTTTGTATTTTAACCATTTTCTTGCATGAATGTGAACAATCTCAGTAAAGGTCATCTTCTACTTTCATTTATCCATTTACTAATTTTCATTCTAATCATATGAGCATATGTTCCTTTTAATCTGAGTATATTCTATAACTATTCTTTCTTATGTTTCCAATATAACAAGTTTCTGTTCATTGTATGATTTGACAAACCTCTGTGTGTGCATATATCATTGCTTAACCATTGAATTTTATGTTTTCTTAATTTCATATGTTCAATTACATTCAACGGTTTTTGTTCGTAGAGCCCACACTGACAAGCTGAAAGTCAAAGGACCAATCAAAATGCCAACCAAAGTTATGCACATCAAATATGCATTGTCTTCTGTTTAAGGTACACTCATCATGTGCTAATTTTTGGCAAATACAAACTTAAATTATATATTATGAAAAAAAGTTACACTAATATGATTTAATCTAGTAGGCTATACATGTATGTTTCTTTTTGATTTAACACTGAAAGATCAAATACATGTATGTTTCTTTTTGATTTTTTTTTATTAGAGAAGACAGGGTTCAAGGACTTTTTGCACATTAACGATTTTGACAAGGAAACAATATTAATAATCTTGGATAGAGCCAAAGAAGTGAAAGCATTGCTAAAATCAGGAGAAAGGACGTATCTACCCTTCAAAGTGTCAGATTCTTTTCTTAGATTAGTGCTTTCAGGATACAATATCCTTGTACGTTTTTTTGGTAATGCTTATATCTTTTAGCTTCAAATCTTATTACATGATGTTGTTTAATTTCAGAGGAATCGAGTATGGAGCAAGTTTGAAGAAATTAATCATATTTGCACTGCTACGGATAGTGGCGAATTCCGATTCTGTGGGAATTAAATCTCGATATTTCCTTTGTGATTTTTGTATTTTCTACGATTGCAATTCTGTCGGGATAGAATGGAATCTTGAATTCTGATTCTGTCATAATAGAATCTTGAAGATGAACATTGTACGGAATAAAGATGAACAATGACCACCGATCTTCCAAAAAGAATGAATTATTCTACCAGAATAATATATAATATAATGAAAAAAATAAATGTAATAGTATATTCTGGTATAATGATTTATATATTGTGTTTTTTTGTTATTAATAAGTGTAACATTATCATAGAATAGTATATATATATATATATTATATATATATATATATATATAGAGAGAGAGAGAGAGAGACAGACAGACAGAGACAGAGACAGAGAGATACGTTCAAATGTTTTTGACAACTATTGTGTGCATAAATGCACCAATAGGAATTCAGGAAAAAATTAATTCTTAAATAATCAAGATAAGGCTAGATATGTAATTTTGCATATAAAGTAAATAATAACCAAAATTAAATCCCTTGATTCATGGATCAAATCCCTTAAATTAGACCACCACTTCCCCCTTTTCTCTAAAAATCATCGTCTACACCCGCCGGACTCTCTGGATTAGTAGCAGCAAGGCAATTGATTTTTCTAGGGTTTAAAGTCGTGGTCTTCGGTTGATCATCCTAGAAGCAGAAATTAAAACGAAACTAAGGAGCTGTTCAAATCAGTTCACTTCATCTTCGAGTTCTCCATCGTCATCTTCGGTTGATCGTCCCAGAAGTCATGGAAGAACTGTTCTCCCTTCATCATCGCTTTTGATGTTTAATTCCCCATCTTCTCAAGCAATAACAGTCTGTAATGGTAATCATATGTAATCAATCTTCCTTCTTTAAATTTTTTTTAAGCTTTTGGGCTTTTTATGAAGTTGAATCTATGAAGCACATGAACGAGCGTTTGGTAATGGTTGTTAACTACTTAGAATTCGTACAAGTTACAACTAATTGATTCTTGATATGAGTTATGACTATGATGATTTAAATAAAGATTTGTGCATCTGATTTGCCTGCCAAATGTTTGTTAAAATGCTTCAGCTAATTTTTTTTTAATATTTGAGCTATCATATCTCTTTCATACTAGCTTGGAATGATATGAAATTTGTTTCTGCATATTCTCCTTTGTGTTAGCTCCAAGGTAGGTTCAGAAGTCATTTAAATTTGATTAATATTGGTTTAGTTATAGTCCTTCGAACATGTAATGTTACAGCTGTATTTTTAGCACTCTTTGTTCAGAAACATTTGTGATCTTTGAATTGTCATATTTACCACATTCTAACTTGTAATACGTTGACCTTTTTCCAAAGTATCGTCCTCTGTGTTAGCTACAATGTAGTCATTGTAATTAGATTATGTCGATAATTTGGATCAGATAACTTGGGGAATACTTGATCAAGTGACTCGAGTACATTCTGTTAGAATAAATTAAAAATCTTTAATGTCTAACACATTCTGTTAGATCTATAGTTTTATTCTGTTAGAATATACTGAAAGTTATACTATTTTAAAGTTTATTATGTTTTTTTTTATTTAGGCTTTGAAGGGGTTGCTATTGATATGGAAAATGAAGAAAATATGGAGAACGAGAGTATTCTAGCAGAATCCTGTTATTTTTTAAAAATGTTATTCATTTTTGTTGATATTCTTTTAGAATATTTATAATATATTAAAATGTATAAGAATTTTTTAGTCTGTAAAATATGTATGAATTTGTATTTAAGGTCGGATGTATAAGAATATATTAGAATGTTTGTTATTTTTCAATATATGATTCAAGAATTTTGTTTTTCATCAATAATATTCTATTAGAATAAAATTCTGAAAGAGTATCATTCTAACAAAAAATATTCTTGTAAAATAAAATCGGTAAAATTTAAATTGAATTAATTAAAAAATTCAGATTTTTTTTTAATTAGGAGAATTAATCATCCCTAAAATCCGAAAATTTCCTTTTATAAATGTAGTTATTTGTCCAAAATACCCTTTTGTTAAAAATTGTGTGATTATATGGTACATGTTACCCCATTGTAATATCATACACTCTCAAATCATGTCCATTGATTAATTTCATCCGTTGGTCCAGATATATATATATATATATATATATATATATATATATATATATATATTTATATATATATATATATATATATATATATATATATATATATTCTTTTCTAAGAATGTAATGAAATTTTTTTAACTTGTATCCAAAATTTTGTTATTCTTCAAGAAGTTCATTAAATCAAAATATATATTATGTCAGAATGAGTATTCTTGTATAGTTTAATCATATTTATTATTTTTTAATATATTGATAAAAATTATCTGTTAGAATTTTCGAATTAGGAGAATTATTATACATACAATCAGATTTTTAAAATTAATAGAATCTATTTTCCTTAAAATATGCAATTTTCCTTTTTTAAATTTATATTAATTGACTAAAATACCCTTAGAATGAAATTAGATGATTTTTTTATTATATTTAATTTAATAATATGTATTATTCACTTTCCAAAATTAAGTAAAATGATTGACCCACAGTTGTACATACAATAACACAATACTTAGTTTG